GCTATCAATGTGTTAAAGATCAAGGGTATTGCCTGTTTTCTCGTGCTTAAGTTGAGTAGCTTGTATGCTAACTCCCGAATGCTCATCCAACTATGTTTTAACGTCACGATATTCATGTTTATATACATTTTTGCACTAAGGAAGTGCACCACATGAACAATATTAGTATTATATCAAAAGGATAGGTACTTACTGTGGCGATGCGTACTGCAGGTGAATGCGCGATGATGTCCACCCCTGCTATGCAAGAATGTGAAACTCTCAATTTCATAGTTTTTCAGTAAGGTTGTTGGTGTTGAGCACTTATAGTGACAAAGTTGCCCACCAGTCAAGATGGTCCCTAAAAATTTTCTTAGAACCAAAAGATGACGGTGTAGTGGTAAGAAGTGCTGGGCAGCTCACTATTAGGTACCGGATATCTTAGTGTCGTTTTTTCACCACGAGTTTCGGACCACCAATATTTTAATTCAGAATCCGGGGAGTGAAACAGCATATTCATCGAATGACTCATTAGCACTTTCCCATTTACCAGTATGAGTGGAAACCTCGTACGATTAAAGCTAGGAATTTTTTGAGTCGAAAAAGAGAGGTAGGTCGGTTTTGACATCATCTGACAAATCATCCCTCTCACTTGCTAAAAAGTTAGGCCTGGACAAAAGAAGTATGTTAGTTAGAGTAGGGTCTGCACTGTATGGTGGAAAAGTTATTACTTACCAGCTCAACTGGACAATTTTTCCCGGAGTCTTTTTTGCCACACAGGGTCAAAAACGCACCCTTTTTGAGCACACGTGAGTAGCAGATGAGCACATTTATTAGAATTTCTTGGTCAATCAACTTCGTTAGAGCGTCTGTGCACCATCGATCAGTAACTGCTAAGGTGTCCTACCATCTCAGCAAAGATACCTAGGGCCCCTTTTTTAACACCGATTTGCAGGCATTGCGGGCATCACTTCAAAGACTTCACTGTCTTTTGAGAAACTGTGAAAAACCGATGAGCATTTTAAATGGTAGTATTCCCTCCAACAAATGCAATGTTGGTTTGGTGGGCGGAAGTTGTAGCTCTCAGCAAGAATTTTGAAGCATTTGGTACACACATGCGAATTTGCACACTGGACCCAGGAATTTTCAAAAAAAAGTATAAAAATTGGGGAAAAATTAGTTGTGAAGCAACAATAGAAAACAATAAAGCAACATATTTCGGCAATCAATTAGTTGAGCAAAATGACTTCTGAGGACGAGGATTCATTCGTATTCGGCTTACTTGAAACACACTGATAAGGCGGGTGAGTTGTGGAGTGCTGCGATGCTATCACATGCCGGATTGCAATGGTACAAGAAACGGTCCTAATCATGGGAAATAGACATCTTCGCTTATGACAAAGCAAGGTGGGCCCTAGGGTGGGTGACCTCGTTCAAAAATTTGCATTTGATTTGGGCAGGATGTGTGGGATGCAGGGCACCCGCCAGCTCTTATCAAAAGAACCCTTCAAATGATTTGCCTACAAATTATCTTCTCTCTCGCACAATAGATAAACGAACAAAAGCCCCCCCCCTCAAACTCCTTTTTTATCCGGACTTGATGATTGTTCCGACATTGAAATAATGGTATAAAAATGATCCGACGATCGCTTACGATTCAAGGCGAATGTGCATTCTAAAGGAATTGGAATTCCTGGCCATTCAAGAAGAGATGCATACTCCTAGCTGCGCCCTCGGACGCTGACCTCAAATCTACTTTGCATATCTGCTAAACGATTTTCTGAAATGAGTACGAAGCAAAACAGCATGCCAGAGGTCGGAACTCACACCAAGAGTGTTAAGTAGGATCGGACACCCTTCTGGTCGTGTTTTCTGATTAGCTTTTTTTTATTAAAAACAGCCGAAGCAAGTTTTAGCAGCCTACATAGCTGTATTCCTGAATAAAACAAGGAACACGATAAGAGGCCGATCCTACGACCCTTGATTGCGACGAAGTTTTATGGGTAAAATAATGGTCTTGCGCGTGTTTTACTTTATTATTTTGAACATGTCAAAAATAATGTAATACAGGGCGATCCCGCGACCTTTTGACTGTGAGTCTTGACCACCACTATAACGCTGTTTTACTTTTTAATTTGGTTCAGAGAATCGTTTAGCGAATTCGGAAGATAGACTAATGATCAACGTTAGGCACTTCAAAGTGTACACCTCTCTCCTTGAAAGACCATGGCGATCTGGGATCCTATCCCTGTGAGCTCTACTAGTCTCAGTGAAAGTCCTATGTACGGCGCATCCAGATGAGGTCGATGTTCCCTAGGTAACAATCGCTCAACTTCGTGCATCGAGAACTCTGCTTCTCCCCATTGGTATATCTCATAACGCGCCTCAACCTATGAACACTCAAATTATCCACAGAATTTTATAGGGTCCTCCTTCGCCTCTCACATTGTCTTCCTACCAGAAAATGGAAAAATTTGAGATCTGGTGACACAGAGGTACTGAGAAAACTCATACTTCTCTGCAGAGTGACATCTACTGATGATCTTTGAAAAATTTGGCGCATAAATGAATGGGCAAGGACAAAATATTTTCAAGGCAACTCACCGACAGCTTCACTTAACACATTGACGACATTGAGACGCGGTAACGCGTCTCACTTTGCGCACCTCGTTGGACATTGAGACGCGGTTGCGCGTCTCACCCTTGTCATCCCTTTTTCTAGCGTATGCGGGGATTCTTCCCAATTTGCTTGCCTCTATTCTATGGATTACAACATAACATAACTGTAAACGACATGGGTCACGGTGTGATCAAATATGCTCCAGTTTTTACGTGAAGTTTTTTAGCACAGCGGAATTGGCAGCTCAGTTCATCCCTCGTTTTCTCCCGATTCTGATGGACATGTCGGCGAGAAACGGCAGCGAAAGTAAATAGAAACCTAAAAGGGTAGAAAGATATAGGTTCCACTTCACACATCCACATCGAAATAGTTTTGAAAGGACCAATTCCAATTCTCTTTACCATTTAACGTTTATTGATCGGAATTTCGCTACTATAACTTCGATTACTTTCTACGCATTGGATGGTGCTGAAATGGTTCCGTACTTTTGAAGCTGGTTCCCAAGTGGTATCGTTCGAAAGTTTACGGGTGTGAAGTGTGACGGCTGCGCTCGCAAAAGCGCCCCTTGTCCTACGCGGTGCAAAAACCCAAAACGCGCGATGTCGTCAACGTGTTAAAGCAACCCCACCATTAGGGTTAACTACCTATTCTAAAAGGAGTAAAGCCGCAGTAGCAGCTCGGTATCAGGAGGAATAGCAAGCGTGCTGCATTTTTCTTGTCCTGCTTCAAACCCTTCACAAAAACCTTCACAAATGAGAGGGCTACTCGGAAACGCACAATGGATTTTCAGGATTCTGCCCACACGCTCTGCTTCTTCAATGACCTTATGACACACATAATGTTGATTCATGGCAGTTTAACAGCAACATCGCCGTAAAAAAGTAAACAATGTTTTTTGTCAGACATTAATCTTTTCGACGCGCTTTTTCATGTGCGGGCGCATTCATTATCATTAAAGTGGGTTCGAATGCGTTCCAAGTACTTTGCTTGGCTGTAAGGCTGTGCTCCCAGATGTTACAGCGGGTTCGAACTCTCTGGTTTCTAATTGTGTCGTAGATATGAAGCGATCTCTAGATGTAATGAAATCCGAAATGTTCTTTACATCTCCAAACCTCCTCATCACTGATTCCATAGTTTAGCACACCGCCAGCGCTTTACTGCGTTCAGCTGTGTTCGCAGAAATAATGTTTAGCAATGGATCAAAGAAAATTGTCGCCATAAAATTAGAATCTCTACATCCTTCCTTTGAACCCTGCACGGAAATGAGTCTATGAGGATTTGGCTAACCTATCTCACAGACCGAAATTGGTCAAGGTAGAAAATAGGGACGATGAGCGCATATACTACATACTACTAGACTAACAATATGTTGTCGGATCAATTGTTATAATCCAGTGGTTCGACTCATTTGAGCACCTGAAAAGGTTAGTGTGACATCTGTGAAAGGGGACTTGGAACACGTTTGTTTACGATTGGAAACAACAATGTTAATACGCCAGTCTTTTCAACAACTGGTTATTTATGCGGCAGAATTCAATTATATCTAACAACCCGCTACACACCATCAGTTCGATTTTTCTTCCTATAGGGGGAGCAATCGGTAACGCACTAAAAATATATATTATGTTCCACGGTGCACGAGAGCGAGCTGGAAATTTGTAGCAGTCGTCCTGTATTGCCAAAAAAAGACTTTTAAAGGGGCCACGCCTGCAAATAGTGAACTCCACCTCCTTGAGTAGATCTCCTGAAACTGTGCATGAAATTTTCGAATCCACATATAAATATTCCGATTTTTGTATTCGAAAGCTTATGGGTTCGCTCATTGTCTTTAACTGTGCCTCTTGATCGTTGGGAGAAATGAGCTCATTGAGCCTGACAGATGAGATTGGCTTTTAATAGTTTGAGTTGTAAACTGGTATGAGCAGTTTTCCAGCCCTCTTACGCTACTTTCATAGAGTCATAAAGGTAAGTTCAACAGGGTGGATTGGGAATATCGAAAAAATCTATAAATAAATAGCTTATCGGTTTTTTCCTTAATGGAGCCAGCGGGTCAGTGACGGCAAATGCCTTTCTTTGTTATCTTTTCGTTTTTGTGTTTAGTCCCCTTGCTTTTCGTAATCGATACCGCGGGAACTTTGAGCCAATCGGTCCTTCTCGATCCAGGTCAAAGATCATGGGGCTACGAGCAGGGTGAAGATAAGCGATCAGAGCAATATCTCCTCATCCTTTGTGTGACAATCAATGCAAGAGTTTGCGAGGAATCGCAGGAGTTTACGACGTATCATCTTATATTTCACGATCTTTACTCGAACTCGCGCCGAGTGGATGTGTACAATAAGGGGCGATCGGCGGCGCGGGGTTTGAACTGGCCACAACCCTCGCGCTCAAGTAACCGCCTCCTATGCTATTCCAGATCCGACGAATCAGCGCTCGGTGGGCGGAGCTTATGTGGCGCGAGCAATACGCCATCGGCGGACTTCATTGTGCTGGCATCGGCGACGCAACTATGTCCGTTCCTCCTGAGATTATCAAGAAGATTGAGGACGGCTACCAGACTCTTCAGGTCAGTCCCATGTGTTCTGTTGACTTTCTTGGCTCGTTTGTCCTTTAGCAGTAAAATTCCTGCTCAATACCAAGTTTTGGCTCTCTGTTAGTTGGCTGTACACCTTGATTGTAGCCTGAGCTCTTAATTAGCCCTCAACCCGATGGTAGAAAGCTTCAGACCACTTTTCCAATGTGCATGAGGCTCCACTTCGCTTTGCTCCCCTTTGTAAAGATGTGTAATGATGTTGTGTACTTGTTGAATGGTCCCAGGGGCGGGTGTCTAAGCACAAAAAAATCCCGGAAATCTATTTGTTCGGAGTTCTCCTCAATTTGCCGTTTCTGCACCAATAGCACGTATTTCTTCGGGCGCTGTTCTTTGGACACAACGCGTTGATCGATCGCTTGGAACGGCCTTCACTACTTCTTATGCCGTTTTCTATGGGAGCGGAGCAATTTGAAAACTTAGTACTGCGTCATCGATATGTCGCCGTTCTTGCAAATTACAGCGCTTGTGGACCCAGCCCCATGGGTACATTAACAATTGAGCGCTAAATTGCTTTGGCTGCTTTTTGCTACAATTTGCGCTGCGTTTTGTAATTCAGCTGTGATGGCCAGCGTGTGAAAAGTTCGTGCCAGCATCTCAAATGTTCCGAACAAAAAGCGCTTCTTGGAGACCGTGACGACATAGTTTAGTGAAAATAATTATTTCTGATTCACATACGGTGTTCAAATGGATCGAGTTATCAATTTTCAGAATGCAAAAGATTGCCACTCTTTGCTGAAGAAATACTTGACAAAGGATGTAGTCGACCAGCTGAAGGGCAAGAGGACCAAGCTGGGAGCCACGTTGTGGGACGTCATCCAGTCTGGTGAGTTAGTTGGTTTTGCAACGTGCTCCGTTTTCTGTGTGAGATAGATAGTCTTTGCGTAGCTGTTTTGTTGACTTTTGGCCGCACTTTTGACGTAGTTTGGTGTGCGGCCAGCGCTCCCTGTGCTCCCTGGGGTGAATAATTTGTATCGAATCGAAGCGCTCGTTTTCTGCCCTGGGACTGCAATAAGTATTCCCCATGAGGCTAACGTTGTTGGTTTACTTCTATAGAGTTTCATAGGGAATCTCATGAGTAAGCTGGGTAAGCTCATCGCTCTCACAATGTGAGAAAACGGTTGCAGTAATGTTCTTGGGTTCCAAAACGGCTCCCTGGGCTTGACTGATTCTTTTCATTTGTTGATGTCCAGCTGGTTGTCTATAAAACCTTCATAACTTAATCTCAAGTTCGTCCTACTTTCAATGCGAATCTTCCAGGAGTTGCCAACTTGGACTCTGGTGTTGGAGTTTACGCCCCTGATGCTGAAGCTTACACCCTGTTCAAGCCACTTTTCGATCCTCTGATCCAGGACTACCACAACGGATTCTCTCCTAGCCAGAAGCAGCCTGCCACTGATCTCGGAGAGGGAAAGACCGCCCAACTCGTCGACCTTGATCCTGAAGGAAAATACATCAACTCTACTCGAGTCAGGTAGGTGTCTCAGCTTTATGAGAGAACTGTAGCAATAATGGAGTTTGGATTGCTTTATGATTTGGTATCAGTTCCTATGCTCTGTTTGTAGATGTGGCCGCTCCCTCCAGGGATATCCATTCAACCCTTGCCTAACCGAGGCCAATTACCTCGAGATGGAAGGTATGCAATTTGCACTATCTGTTGCTTCAACGATGTCTTAAACAAATGATTCCAGCCAAGGTCAAGAAGATCTTCGAGAACATCAACGACCCTGAGCTCCAAGGAACGTACTACCCCCTTGATGGTATGACGAAGGAGGTACAAAACCAACTCATCAAGGATCACTTCCTCTTCAAGGAGGGTGACAGGTAGGCTGGAGCCTTTTTTCTAGTTTCTTTCAATTTTTTTCTCGGAATTCCCACCAAATTCTATTTTCCACATTTTACGAGACATTTCAGATTCCTTCAAGCAGCTAATGCTTGCCGATACTGGCCCAAGGGACGTGGAATCTTCCACAACAAGAACAAGACATTCCTTGTCTGGGCCAATGAGGAGGATCACCTTCGTATCATCTCTATGCAGAACGGTGGAAACGTCGGACAGGTTTGTACTCAACAAGCAAAAGCTTCTTTTCGTTAAGCCTCGACAATACCTATCGTGCCATGCTCGTTTCAGGTATTGGAACGTTTGATCAAGGGAGTGAAGACCATCCAGGCTCAAGCACCATTCTCACGTGATGACCGTCTCGGCTGGCTCACTTTCTGCCCATCTAATCTAGGAACCACTGTTCGTGCATCCGTACACATTCGCTTGCCGAAGATCTCAGCTAAGCCCGACTTCAAGAAAATTTGTGATGAGCTCAAGCTCCAGGTGAGCTCCCACTTTCATTTCATTCCATCAGCGTTCTATTGCGATTTTTATTTGCAGATCCGTGGAATTCACGGTGAGCATTCCGACTCGGAGGGTGGCGTCTATGACATATCAAACAAGGCTCGCCTTGGTCTGACAGAGTTCGAAGCGGTCAAGCAGATGTACGACGGGGTAAAGCATCTCATCGAGCTGGAGAAGAAGGCTTAGGCTACCATTCTGAACTCGCTATCAATGTCTGCCTGAATCGGGAAAGCTCAAAGCTTCCGCTTCCAGTGACGGTCCAGTATCTCGGTGAATCGTCGATGTATCTGCGCACTAGAATAGATGTCAATTCTGCTAGTCTAATTTAGTCGGATTTATACATTTTAATAAATTATTGTTCCCAATTCACATGTGTTTCGCACTCGCAGAACTCAGCCATCCAATAGAAAATGGTGGGCACCTGTGACTGCTGAAGAAGTCCGAATTACTCCGAGATTATCAGGCGCTGTAATTTACCCATGCCAGCACGTGTTCAGTATCATTCCTTGGCTCTTCATAGAGCTGTGATTGCCACTTTACACAACTCGGTGGAGAAAAATTAGCGTTGTAGGGTCTCTTGTTAATTTGACATTTCACCAGGCGGAGCGGATGGGGGTGGTGCGGGGGTGGGTGAAAAAAGCACCAGTTCCGTAAGAATTTGATAGTGTGCAGACTAGCTTCAATCTGGCTGTGCAAAATATTGCTGGAAAAAATGTCCCCCAATATGTTAGTTTCCTATTGAGGTGGGAGGATGGAAAAGATTCAACATTTTGTGCCAGCCACGTGGGTCCACCGCGAGTGGAACCAGCGCCAATCACACTGTTTAAAACTGTCCAGTATGGTTAACACGTTGACGACAGCGTGACGCGGTAACGCGTCCCACTTTGCGCACCTCGTGGGACATTGTGACGCGGTAACGCGTCCCACCCAAGTCATCCCTTTTTCTTGCGCTTGCGCGACTTATTCCTAAGGTCTTTGTACTCATTCTATAGGCCATACATTAGCATACTTAAAAACCACATGGCTCACAGAAAGGCCAAATATTCTTTAGTTTGGCAGAGGTTTTCCAGACCTTACGGATATGTCTGTTCAGTTCATTCCTCGTTTTCTTTTCATTAACGTGAACATGATAAAAAGGAATAATAGAAGCGAATACAAACCTATTCTCATGGGAAGATATGTATTTTTACTGAAACAATCACGTCCGAAAATAAGTAAAATTTGCCTTCTCATGGCCTTAACACGTCATTTCGGTCGAACTTCCATTACTGTAACTCCCGATAAGTTAGACAGATCGAACATTATTGAAAACACTTCATCGCATCTAAGTATTGCGTATTTACAGCTCAAAATCCATGGATTTGGTGTGCGGCGGCGGCGCTCGCAAAATCGCTCTGGTCCCACGCGGTGCAAAAACCCAAAACGCGCGATGTCGTCAACGTGTTAACATGGAACGCCTAGAGATTGCGAAGAAGAGCCGGAATTCGAATTAGTGAATCCTACCTGGCCCTGTTCTTCAATTTCGAGGTGTGGAGTGATTTCGAAATTTACCGTTGCAAATTCTCGTGAAGCACAACTTCCTTTTGGAGAACATGTGATTAGTCCTAACTTTGTGTTTATTCATTGAGACAGTACTCTACTGGAGTTTCTATGAAACTTTCTGCAGCTAGATTTTGCATGGGTTTTCCACTTCAGTTGCCAAGGGTGATCGTTCACCTTTGACGGCGAGTTACCTATATGATGACAGCGATCGTATAATCGGTTTTCGCTTTATCGCATCAGTTCCTTTGCGTTCGCCGATTGACTGTAATTCCCTGTAGCACTGAGTTTAGTTGAGGTGAGTTTTGGGCTGGCACATTGGTTGGCGTTCACTGAAAGGGTGTTACTGCTCAACAGTTCATATGAATGAGGTCGAAAAGCTGGTAAGCATAGATTTTGTGCCGCCGAATGGGCGATGAGTGGGGAAACATTTTGACGCTCTCAAAGGTGGAATGAGTTTGATGTTGATCAAATATGGGTGGAGGTGCTAAGTACTGCGGAAATGAGGAAGAGCCCAAAAATGTTTCGCAAAAACTCGCGAAGTAGCAGTCTGATTTCGTCAGTTGGTTTTGGACGAGTTTGCGGCATAGAAATGGGTTTTGGGTGAGGGTATTATGTAACACATGACACGAGATTACAAGATGCTCTTTCAAAATTAAAATCGAACTATGATAAATAGTAACGATATCGCGATTCTCAATAACCACTCTTGGGAGGGGTGGAGCACTTTCCAACGGTGCGGTTTTTAAGTTCGGAACCTAACTGCGTTGCTGTAGAGCATTTGTCAAAGATGCTACAATTTGATTTCGTTGACTTCGTCCTTCCTCTCCTTATAGATTAAAAGCCTACCTGAGAGACGATTAAGTTCGATGAGCAATTATCTCCTACAAAACAAGCTGGCTTGGTCCACTTTTGTAGAGGGTGCCACTTCCGCCACTCGAAAAATTGTGTCAATGAATGAAGGACTTAAAAATCGATGTGCATTTCCCGTCATTCATGCTCACAAACCGTTGCAAATGCGTTAGTGTCTACGTCTTGCTCGTCCTCCATGCTCCCTTTTCTCCGCGTTCGCTCATTCGTCTCAGCTGTCGGCAATCTTTTTCAAGAGGCTCCTTCGAATAAGGAAAGAAATCCCCTATTTTCAGCATTTTTAAGTTGATGTTTCAATTTTCCATCACTGGAGGTGAACACCGCACCCGGCTGTCAATGTGCTCGACACCCTCAAATGATCGCGGAATGGTATGTTCCAAGGGGCTTACCCCACTTTCAGGTGTTTGTATGAGTTACCTCGAACAATCCATCTGGTTTTCTCTAACGAGAAGTTGTTATGAGGAAAGAGTATTGTGTCAGCTGGATGTAGCCGGATCATCGCGATAATGCGATTTTGACGAACGCTTCCGCTGAATCCCACTCAAATCTCACATTTTCGAGGACAGTCGTGGCAGCTTCACAATTCTCGCCTTGAGGGAGATCTGAGCTTCCTGTAGTGAAAGTTTCAAGAAATCGGGACCAACAGATAAACAGATGCGACCATATTGATGAAGTGCCCACATCATGGCAAAATGGATGTTGTACGCAATGTAAAAAAATGCACACTTAAGAATTGAGCGATTTAAGCGAATTAAGCTTGAGTGATAGGTTTCCATGGGTCTTAATTGATGCCTTCCGTACATGGTGACGCTTGGAGTCGAAAAGGGAGGACTGAAGTAATGATGAGCTGTCTGAATAAAAACGCAGGAAAAAAGTGTGTGCTGGTAATCTCTGAACAATTTTGCTATAATGCTATGGCCACATCGCACCTTTGGCGTTCGTAGTAGATAAGTAAGGTAAAGAACGAAGTAGAAAGGTTGTAATATTGAAATAGGTTAATTACCCTTGTAAACGGCTCATCCTACGCGGAGATCTTCTTACTAGGCAACATCCACATTTTTGTGTCGGTTTGCCTCCCCTAGTCATTTTATGGCACGACAGGCTTAATGTGCTCAATAAGTGAAAGTAAGGTACGCGGCGAATTCTCAACACGGTGATCCGCACCGCTTTTCAGCCCTCTTTTCTGCATTTACATTAGTTTCTGGGACGAGTTTGCGGGACGCAAGCCCTACTCATGTGTTCAGAGTGCAGTGTGGTTTTGAGTCGCAGCATTTTTCGCTTTCTTTCATTACGGGTGAACCAGTCACCACGACCGTGCTTTATGCATTCGGACTCAATAACATGCACTTATTCAATCGCTGAATGTGCCTCAAGTGGGAAGGGATCGGCTGGGTATTCTGGAAGGGTCCTTAGCTGGTAGCATTAAAGAGTAATGGTGAAAACTTATAAACTCTCAAGAAGACTGAGCTTTTGAGTTCGACTGCTTCTAGTAAGTATCACAGCCACTTCATGTCGTATGGCGAACTGAAAACAAAAAACTTGAAACTTTACCAGAATTTAGTATTCTGTGGGGACCTTCCATGTGAGCGGCTAACTCGAAAGCATTCTATCCTCCCCAGGTTCGAATGGTATCTTTCTCAGAAAATATTACCATCGCTATTACGGCAAGGAACAGCCAATATAAAAACAAAGCAAATCAAGGCGCGATTGCAGGAAGGGGGTGGGAGAGAGAGACACAGGAGGAGGTCGATCAGTGCAATAGCTTGTACTGCCTACAGGAATCTGGATGATCGCGGGCAGGAATTGTCGAAGTGGTCTACAAATATCATTATACAGAAAGGAAACTAGGTAACGGCCAAATTGTAGCTGAGGATAAAGTTGAGAAACCCGATTCTTGACAGGGCTCCGAGGTGGGTGAAGGATTAATCGTGCACGATGGGAACTAAGTGAGTATGAAACGAAAGTAGTTGTGAGCGTGACATAAAGTCAGTCTATCAATAGATCTCCAGCAAGGAACGAAAACAGAGCTTCCAAGAGGTTGAGCAGTGAAACAAAAACTCAAGAGAAACGGCCTGTAATCTAAAGACCCTTATTTCTTCCACTGATTTTCGTCTAGGCGAGCCTCGTCGGTGCTAAAATTACTATCGTGAACATTTTTCTGTACCCGCTAGACAGGGCTCGGCGGGGAGCTATTAGGTTGGGAAGAAAGTCCTCAACACTTTTTCAAATTTTTAGTTTTAAATTTTATCTTTTTTTGGTTACAACTCCTGACCGGTCTTATATCTACCATGAGTGTCCACCACTTGTCTCCAACCCCCAGAAAATTTCTCGATGCTCCTTTCTCAAAACCCAGCGAAGTGCGAGTCAAGAAATGAGGAGACCTCACTTTCGAGTTGAAGTTGGTCGTCTAATTATTTCGTCATCAGATGATGATTCAAGGTCCAGGATACGGAGCACTTACTTACAGCTCGACCCATAAAAGAATTTTTAGTGGAGCTTCCGTAAGAGTCCTATCTGTAATGGAGTGTGTAGGACGCTGCTGGCTCCTTATAAAAATATCAAAAGATCGAAAGCGCAGGTAAAGGCGAAACACGCTGTAGCGGCATACCATTGCCTATTGCAGATAGTGTCGGTCGTTGACACGAATCCATAGTTATGGAGACATTTGTACTAGACAGTGACTCGGAGTATGGATTTACCAGTGGTCGAGGTTTTTTGAATTTTCTTGGATAACTACTGACTGCAGCAACTTATATCCACCTCGTGGATTGAAGCCT